TAATAATTTATTGTTATCGCGTAGACAATGCTGCGTTCTGCGTTCCATTTCATTTTTGTCCCTGCAAGTCCCGAGCGAGCAGCAACGTCCTATTTTCCAGGCTTAACCGTTATAAATCTGTCCCGTAAATTCCCACCCGAGTTAAAGAAGAGAAAAAAATTAAAAAAAAAAAGAAAAAAAAACGAAAGTTATACACCAACCAGTGCGATACGTACATCTGGATAACCATACTCGATCGTTCTAAACGTAACATCTGTTACCAACCACTCACCCTGTCACCTTCCACTTAATTATTAGAAAGAGCGTATTAGTTATGCCTATTTACCACGAGATAATAATCATTCTTGTTTCTCGATCGTATCTCTCTTTGGCCATCCCTCAGCCGTCCAGCAGCTGACAGACAGACAGACAGACAGACAGACAGACGGTGCTTTTTCGTTTTACGAGCGGTTCCCTCGAGCTGTAACCGCGGCCGAGTGGCGAACTGAAATCCGTGCGCTGCAGTCGCACTCGTCACTTGACGTTCCGACTCTTCGCCCTGCTCCTTGACTTCCGGTCGCGTGCTGAAACATTGAGAAAGCCAAGTTTCGCCTGCCGCAACGCCTCGCGTAGATTCTCTATATTGCCAAGCTGATTCGCGTTGAGAAGCCTCGTCTCGACTTCGCCAGTTTGGAAGCCGCACGCGTCGCATGCATACGGGACAGGCATCGCCGATGGGAACATGTCCTTCATGCTTTGATCGTCCGTTCGATCCTCGCCGGGACAGTACGGTACGAATACCACCGGGATGAAGCCAAGCTGACCGACCAGGGGAACGGATGTCGTGCTCGTGGTGGTAATTGTATCGTTGCCAGGCTCGACAAGGTAACAGGGACAGGTTCGAGGGTCTGGCCTTATGGATTGCTCGTAGGGTTTGACGTGGATCGGGCTCGGTGGTTGAACACCGATCGCGGTGAAGTCCGAGGTCGGTCGGTTGGATTTCTCGGATAGTTGGTTTACCTGTTTGACAAGCGCGGCGTTGTCCTTTTCGTAACTCGTCTCTACCTCAACCACCGGCTCGTTCACTCGCGCGTTCACTTGCTGGTACGGATATTTACGATTCTCGCGGAAGCCCTGTTGCATTAATCTACCTTGGCCGGAATATTCGGCAGCCTGCGAAATTTGTGGCACGATTTTTTTAACGCCTTCGTAGTTATTCCGCCCTTCTTGTATCTCGCTGTATTCGCGCGATTCCTTTTGCTGCGTTTGCAACAAGGAATTAATTTCGTCCGCGTGTTGGTTCACTTGACTCGGCTGGTAGCCAGGTCTCCTGAATTGGCCTCTGATCTTGTACGTATCCTTTGCTCCTAAGGGACTGCTTATTTTCGTTGGATACGTAAACGCTGTCGATTCGACGCTCTTTTCGTAATTTTCATCCGAGGTGTCGTTCTTTAAGTAATCCGATCTGAAGTTCGAGCTGGAGGTTAGTCGTTCTACTTGCTTCTGTCCGTAAGACAGATCGTAGGTTGGCGTTGTAGGTTCGTAATACTTTATGGGATATTGAATTTTAATCGGCCGTTCGTGTCGAGGTCGCGATGTTGGTCGAACACCAGGCACGTAATCCGGATCTCCAGGCCATGGACCGTCTGGACCGGGTGAACCTGTCGGCCATGGACCATCTGGACCGGGAGGCCCATCGCCACCTATTCCTCCTACTCCTCCGACACCGCCGACGGGACCGTCAGGACCGCCTGGACCTTGAGGACCATCCGGACCTACACCGCCAATTGGGCCTTCAGGTGCAGGAGGATATCCCGGATATGGTGGATACGGGGGTTGACCTGAAATTTTAAACAAAAATTCGTAATTTCGAAGACACAACGTTGCTTGGATTAAACATAAGATAGAAAGATGTGAAACGTACCTGGTTTTGACGTCTGGGGATGTTCAGGTTTACCAGGAGTTCCTGGATAGAGTGGTGTTCCAGGATGTCCTGGTTGTGGTGGTGTTGGCGGCGTTCCGGGTATACCAGGTATTCCGGGAGTACCTGGCGTGCCAGGATATCCTGGTTGAGGTGGGATTGCCGGAGTCCCAGGTATTCCAGGTGTTTCTGGTGTGCCAGGTGTGCCAGGGTATCCAGGATAAGACGGGACAGGTGGTGTACCAGGGATACCAGGTTTTCCAGGTCTACCAGGTTTGCCGGGTATTCCGGGATGTCCTGGTTGAGGTAGGATTGCCGGAGTTCCGGGAGTTCCAGGAGTTCCTGGTACACCTGGAGTGCCAGGAGTTCCTGGTATACCTGGAGTGCCAGGATGTCCTGGCTGTGGCGGGATTGGTGGGGTTCCAGGAGTGCCAGGAGTTCCTGGTATACCTGGAGTGCCAGGATATCCTGGTTGAGGTGGAATTGGTGGAGTTCCAGGAATTCCAGGAGTTCCTGGGGTACCTGGACTACCAGGATATCCCGGGTGCGGTGGAATTGGTGGGGTTCCAGGTATTTCAGGTGTTCCTGGTGTACCAGGAGTGCCTGGTACACCTGGTATGCTAGGATATCCAGGATAAGATGGGGCAGGTGGTCTTCCAGGTTTACCAGGTTTGCCGGGTATGCCTGGTATACCAGGATGTCCTGCTTGTGGTGGGATTGGTGGAATTGCAGGAGTCCCGGGAATTCCTGGGGTGCCTGGACTGCCAGGATATCCAGGATGCGGTAGAATTGGTGGAATGCCGGGTGTTCCAGGAGTCCCAGGAGTTCCTGGTGTACCAGGAGTGTCAGGATACCCCGGGAGTGGTGGAGTTGGCAGGGTTCCGGGAGTTTCTGAAGTACCAGGATATCCTGGTTGTGATGGTATTTGAGTTGCAGGGTATTCAGGCGAGACTGGTGTCCCCGGAATAGCAGGATGACCGGGATATCCAGGTGGCACTGGCGTTTGAATACCAGGCAGATTCGGTGTTTGAGGGTAACCAGGATGTGATGGATGTCCGGGCTTGCCTGGTTTACCAGGCTTACCAGGTTTGCCAGGCCTACCTGGTTTACCTGGTATACCAGGAGACCCCGGTATACTAGGTGTTCCTGGACTACCAGGATGTTCAGGGGGTGGCGGGTATGGCGGAATTCCTGGTGTACCAGGAGTTCCGGGGGTTCCAGGTGCCTCAGGATGTGAAGGTTGCGATGGAAATGATGGATGGCCAGGTTTTCCAGGTCTACCTGGTTTTCCAGGTTTTCCTGGTATACCGGATATTCCAGGGATGCTTGGGTGTCCTGGTTGTCCTGGAGCGCCAGGATGTCCTGGTATCGGTGGTGTTCCAGGATATCCTGGTTGTGATGGTGTTCCTGGGTATCCGGGATATCCAGGATATCCCGGTTGTCCAGGGTATCCGGGCTGTGGTGAAATTCCAGGTGTTCCCGGATAACCGGGTGTGTTTGGTGTTCCGGGATATCCTGGTTGTGGAGGTGTTCCAGGATGTCCAGGATATTCAGGTTGCGATGGAGTTCCAGAAGTACCAGGTGTCCCAGGTGTCCCAGGATAACCAGGGTATCCTCCTGGGGGTGGTTTCCCAGGGTATCCAGGATATTGTGGTTTTGTTGGTGTTCCGGGTGTTACCGATGATCCAGTTTCTGGTGGTTTTGCAGGATGTTCAGGATGCCCAGGTTGTCCAGGATGTCCTGGATATTCTGGTTGTCCTGGATATGGAGGTTGCGGTGATGTTCCAGGTATGCTCGGTTTCCCTGGTGTTCCTGGAGTTCCTGGATGTCCAGGTTTTCCCGGTATTCCAGGTGTACCGGGATAGCCAGGTTGTGGTGGCGTTCCAGGTATCCCAGGATGCCCAGGTTGTCCTGGTAACCCAGGTGTACCAGGATGACCTGGTTGTGATGGTATTTGAGGTATTCCGGGTGTACCAGGGTAGCCTGGTTGGGACGGTTTCCCAGGATATCCGGGATGAGTTGGAGTTACAGATGTTCCAGGATGTGCAGGTAGCCCTGGTATTCCAGATGTACCAGGATATCCTGGTTGGGATGTACCAGGTGTACCAGGTTTCCCAGGTTGTCCTGGAATTCCGGGGGTACCAGGATATCCTGGTTGCGATGGTGTTCCAGGTGTACCAGGATAGCCTGGTTGTGATGGTGTTGCAGGTATTCCAGGTTTCCCAGGCTGCCCTGGTATTCCAGGTGTACCAGGGTAGCCAGGTTGCGGTGGCGTTCCAGGTGTGCCAGGATATCCAGGGTGGCCAGGTTGTCCTGGTATTCCAGGTGTACCAGGATAGGCAGGTTGTGGTGGGGTTCCATGTTCCCCAGGATAACCAGGATGTCCAGGCTTGCCTGGAATTCCGGGTGTATCAGGATACTCTGGTTTCGATGGTGTTCCAGGTGTGCCAGGATAGGCTGGTTGTGATGGTGTTGCAGGTATTCCAGGTTCCCCAGGCTGTCCAGGCTGTCCTGGTATTCCAGGTGTACCAGGGTATCCAGGTTGCGGTGGTGTTCCCGGTGTGCCAGGATATCCAGGATGGCCAGGTTGTCCTGGTATTCCAGGTTTCTCAGGATATCCAGGTTTTCCTGGAATTCCGGGTGTACCAGGATATCCTGGTTGCGATGGTGTTCCAGGTGTTTCAGGTGTCCCAGGATAGCCTGGTTGTGATGGTGTTGCAGGTATTCCAGGTTTCTCAGGCTGTCCAGGCTGCCCTGGTATTCCAGGTGCACCAGGATAGCCAGGTTGTGGTGGAGTTCCAGGTGTTCCAGGTGTGCCAGGATATCCAGGATGCCCAGGCTTGCCTGGAATTCCGGGTATACCAGGATACCCTGGTTGTGATGGTGTTCCAGGTGTTCCAGGTGTCCCAGGATATCCAGGATGCCCTGGTTTTCCAGGTGTTCCAGGTGTACCAGGATACCCTGGCTGCGATGGTATTCCAGGTGTGCCAGGATATCCTGGTTGTGATGGTGTTCCAGGCGTTCCAGGTATCTCAGGTTTCCCAGGGTATCCAGGATGCCCAGGCTGTCCTGGCTTCCCAGGTGTTCCAGGTGTGCCAGGCGTTCCCGGTGTCCCAGGGTATCCAGGATGTCCAGGCTGTCCTGGTTTTCCAGGTGTTCCAGGTGTACCAGGTTGCGATGGTATTCCAGGCGTTCCAGGTGTCTCAGGTTTGCCAGGATATCCAGGATGCCCAGGCTGTCCTGGCTTTCCAGGTGTTCCAGGTATTCCAGGTGTTCCAGGTGTGCCAGGATATCCTGG